GCCTGCCAATTCCCACAGCTATCCTGTATCATCTGAAAAAACCAGGTTAGATCTTCCTCAGGTGAATTCACTTTCCAAGCTCCCTGTAAGAGATGTTGCCCAGTGATTTCTTGAAATGGCTGTGATGGGGGAGTGCTCCCAGTGTCCTCAGGTATGTTCCTCAAGCTACTGTGTCATCCTGCCCCTCCTCTCCCCCACTAGGGCCTCCCCCCTTTCCCAGCACCTCAGCTGCAGTCTGATGAGATCTCAATCTGTGCTCGTTGATATCTGTTATTCATAGGTTAGTTCCTGGGGAATTAAACGGAATCATCTGCTCACTTTGTCATCTTGCTCTGCCCTCTTTCCAAATTTCTTCGTCTTTTTTTACATGCAGCTGAAGATGCCCTCCATTGGGACATCAATTTATTAAATAAGGCAGATTATAAACACTGATAATGGGGTATAAAAAGGTCTAGAGATACTTCAAAAAGGTGCTCCAAAAGTTTGATCCAAAAAAGTGGACAAATGACATTTTGAAAACATAACTGAATTGTTCTAAGCCCTTCTGAAGCCCCCTCATTGCTCATAAAACTGGCTGGAACTGACAATGATGGTACATCTTATAATCCAAGATCAAAGGAGTTGAGGTTTTAAAGTTTATTTTTATTTTCTCTATCAGTTAAACTGGTGACCAATAATGATGAAAGCTGGGGCACTTGAGCTCCGACTCGGTGACAGTACCCTCCCTTCCCTTCTTGGAGATATTCGCTGCTTCCGTTTCACCGTTTTGCTGCCACCCAAACCATTTCTTTTTTGCCTAGCTTACAACTTTGGGGATTAGCTTCATTCTGTCTTCTACAGCAGTGCCCTGGTTGGTAATAGACTAAAGGATTCACAAAGGAGCCTGCCAACCCATAAAGGACATAGACTGTGAAATTTGATTCTAAAAATAAAGATCAGTATGGTCTAAAGACATGTTTAGCTAATGACAACCCTCTCTGCCCCAATTCAGAAAAGTGATCACTTACTTCTTAATTCTGTGGAGACAGTAAAACAACAGGGCCCGTAGCCAAACTTCTCACAGTGTTATCTGACTTCTAGTCACAGCTTTTTGTTACTGGGTTCCTTTGGTATCCACCATCCTTAACCATATTCACCCTATTCACCGTGACGGAACAAACGGTGAATACAATAAAACAAGGCAACTTCTCAAGTTAGCATCAAGTAAGGGACATCACCTAGGGTGACCAGCACATGGGCACGAGGAGGCCCTATGACAAGAATGGCACCCATGTAAGAGGCCTCAACAAGAAGCACTGGGTCTGGGGAACGTTTCTGGGGCTCTGAGTGTTTTACTTGCAGACCAACAATCATGGATGTTGTCTACAATGGGGCCAGCCATGAGTGGGTCCACGCCAAGACCTTGGCAAAGAGCTGCATCCCACTCACTGCCAGCTCCCTGGAAGGTCAGTGGTACTGGCCCAACTCTGCATGGCCCCAAGGCCACAAGGGGAGAGCCAAACGGACTCCTGGGGAGGAAGAGATTTGAAACAGAAAGTGACCAAAGAAAATTAAAGATAGATGGATAGATAGGTGATAGAGGGGCAGATACGAGGAGGTGCCCCCCACACAAAAAATGATGCTCATTTGTTTTTTGGATGTGAGGGGGATAGTGCATTTGGAGTTCATCCCACCAGGTCAGACTGTTAATCAAGCTTTTTATTTAGAGGTTCTGAAAAGGTTGCATAAGAGTTTGCGAGACAAAACGGCCTTATCTATGGCAGACGGGGAACTGGTTTTGCTACCACAATGTACCTGCTCACTCAGCCGTCTCAGGGAGCCAGTTTTGGTAAAAAAAAATTTTAAAAAAACCGAAAGCATGCCTCTCTTGTCCCACACACTGACTTCTTTTGTTTCTGCGCATGCAGAGGGACATGAAAGGACAGCGATTGGACAAAGTAGAAGAGGGGAAGAAAAAAAACCGAGGGAGGTGCTCTCAGCCATCCAAACAGATAAGCTTGAAAACTGTTTCCGAGAATGGAGTCGCAGATTTGACAAATGTAGTAAGTGATAAGATTGTTTTGTGAAAAAAAGTAAATGCATAGCTTTGAAAAAAATTCTGTCTTTTATGGGGGTCCCCCGTGTGTGTGTGTGTGTGTGTGTGTGTGTGTGTGTGTGTGTGTGTGTGTGTAATGATCGGGGAAAGACTGCAGAAGTCAGCAGGATTCTGAAAAAGCAGTTGTAAAGGGTGAGCCTCGTGGCTATGTTGCTTCGAGGCCAGTCCCCGGGGCTGAGCAAACGGCTGCAGGCCAGAGGCCAGCCGTGGGTGTGATCCCAAGAAAATCAAGACTCAGAGAGGCAGAAAAACTGCTCCGGCCACCCTTCCTGGCACACATATTAACGGTGTTCATTCTAAAAAAGAAAGGGAAACAACAAACTGAAGACATCCCATTTCCCTCAAAAGCATCCTGTGGGAGAGTTTTGTTTTATAGTTAAGTCTTTTGAAAGATTTCCATATTTCAGTTTTCTCTCCTACTCAGTTTAGTTTAATAGGTAAAACACTCTGGGGGAAGAGACTTATGCCTGAAGCAACCTCCATATATATTAGTTTTATTAGTTTTGAGGGCAGTGCAAAGGTCACCTGCTGGGATTACTAAAGTAAAGCAGAATTAAAAAAGCATTTTTATATATGGATGTAATGATTTTTTTAAAAGGCTATAAAAAACTTTTTAAACACTGTAAAATTAATTGGTACAGTTTAATTCTACAGAAAAAAATTTTTTTTAAATCTTTGGAAAAACATAAGTAAGCTTCAGGGGCTTGAAACCTTTCCTGGGACAACAATCATTGCCAGTGAATCCACTTTAACCCATAGTGACCCTATAGGACAGCACAGAACTACCCCCATAGACAGGGGTCCTTAAACTTTTTAAACAGGGGGCAAGTTCATTCATTGCCCCTCAGACCGTTGGAAGGGCAGACTATAGTTTAAAAAAAAACTATGAACAAATTCGTATGCACACTGGACGAGTCGGCTGCTAAGCAGGACAGGCAGCAGCGGCAAAACACCCTTTAGGCCGGATAAATGTCCTCGGCAGGCCGCATGTGGCCCGCGGGCTGTATTTTGAGGACCCCCTGCCACAGGGTACCCAAGTCAGTGAATCTTCACGGACGCAGACTGCGGCATCTTCCTCCTATCAAGTAGCTGGTGGGTTCAATTGCTCCACAGCTGCCTTCACATCCAAATACTTGGGTCAACAAATAAAGTATGTGCTCTGGAATTCTCTGGAAGATAATTCTAAATGTGCGCTACTGAAGACATGATCACTCACATTAAAGGTTCAAGCAGGACGTCTGACCAAATACTTCAACAATCAAAAGGAAAAAGAAAAGAATTTCCTAAATTCATATGTACCTATAGAGAGTTGCAACTAAATGATGATTATTAAACATTATGATTGGGGTATTTTATCTATAATGCTGAATATATTTCAGGTCGGCCCCAAACATTTCTGGGTTCCTAGACATTCCTTCTGCGGGAGGAGAACGTGAAAAGTACCATGCGCTGCTGAAAGGAAAACCCTGGGGGAAGGATGGTCACAGGGCCCCTGAAAGGGAAGAACAGCAAGACTGTCTTGCTGTTGTCACACTTCAGACAGCTTGTCAGGAGGGACCCGTCCCTTGATCAAGTAAAGGGGACGCAAAGGAGAGAAAGACCCTCAAGGAGCAGGACTGATCCAGTGTCTTCAACAACGGGTTCAAACACGGGAACAGCTCTGAGGAGGGTGCAGGATGGGCCACTGTTTCTTTCTAGTCTGCCTAAGGTCGCTGTGGTCCCTGACTGACTCCGTGACACCACACGGCAACAAGCGTCCCATTCAGGTCAGGATAATCTTATACTGGTGGCTTACCGAGTACAAACTCATATGGGCTCATCTAACTATTTTTATGCAAATAACCTATCCCTCTACTTTAGTTTGTCAATTGCTCCCTCCCCAGTGAGAGATATTTTTGTGAGCGCATCTATGCCAAGTTGTTCATATGTTGCTATCAAAAAAATAAAAGTGTAACCTATCTTCAAAAATACCTCCCTGAGGGAGGGAGCAGTCGGCATAGATAAAAGATGCGTGCTGTTTGAGTAAAATATGCTAAGTTGATATCCTCTGTAAATTTTGTAATAGGAAGTGCTTAAATTATCTCTTCCAAAGGCTAAGCTTACTCAAATAGTATGAATGGTTTTGTGCAAAAGAAACAATAAAACTAGTCCATATTGCAAAAACATATGGTCTAATAAATGCATTCAATAGCTTGTCAACAGATATAACCATGCTATGCAATATTCTTGGTATTTATCAATGTACTTAGTTAAAAAAAAAAAAAGCAACTCTGGTGTTGACTTCTACATGGTTAGTTAGCCAGAGGGAGTAATTGGGCAATGAGCACTGATTTGCTGATGAGGTGCTGGAATGTGTGGTTCACCCTCCCCTCCCAGAGCACACTGAGCATAAAGCATGCCTGTTCGAGCCCTAGTCTCCAAGTTCAAACTAGTAAAAGCTAATTTGTGAAACTCAGTACCAGGCAATACCCACAGTATGGTGGCTCAACGGCTTAGGCGCTGGTCATTGTCACATGAAGATTTCAGACTTACCTGTTTTCATGCTCACAGATAGGAAGCCTGGGCACCGTGTGGTAAAGGCTAAAACACTAGCACCCGAATAAAGGCAAGAGGTAGAGAAACTCTTCTGAGACACTGGACAGCTTTATCAGAAAATGAACACAGACATCAAGGAAGTGACAATAATCGTCTGTAAGTACTTCTGACATTCCAATGGACTAATCCACTAACCAGGTGACATTATTTCCACAAATAATTTTGAAAAATGTTCGAAATTTTTGTATGTTTTTCATTGCTATCTACATCCTTTTACTTATTAAGGCATTTTGCTTTGCCCAGATAACATCCCAAAGGGGAGGGGGCATTAAAAACAAACCATGAATGTGAAGATGAAAATCCCCTGTACCTGAGAAATCTGCTGCTACGAGGTCGACTGCCTTCAGAACCTTCACTTGTAAAAGCCCGATGTCCTTCATGTCTTTCAGGGAGTTCTGTACGCCCTGAGGGAGGATAACAGCAGATGGAAAGTGAAAATCACTTCCTAAGATCCTAATTCATGCCACACAGTCCTGAGGGAAACAGTATAGGTTTATGTTCACTGTCCCCATTACGTTCTTCGAAAAGCTCCAAAAGATAGGGTGTCAGTTGAGGGGACGGGGAGGCACTCGCAGCAGCCTGATGAAGAAAAAGGTGACTGAGAGTTAATTAACGACAGCGCCCAAAAAAATCACATGCACATACACGCTACTGTTAACACAGTGCCCTGGGCCACATGCGTGGACCTGCACCCATTCCTTTCCTCCCACTCCTTTCTCGTAAATGAAACTTTCTAAAGTACCCTAAAAGCCCACATTATTCTGACCCAAACTTTATAAATACCAGACAGCTAAACTTCGACTTTCCACGGGTGCCTTTCAACATTGAAAAGACAGTAGGATAGAAGTCAAATAAATGATCACACGCATGTTTTAGCCAATTAACTTAAAGAAGAGATGGAGCATCGGTAATCCTGCCATTCTTATACACCTTTACTCTTCAGATGATGGAAGCCAAAGAGCGAATATATTTAAAGATACATTTTTAAAAGGAATATTGTATTTTAGCTGAATGTTTCCCCTTCCACAATTTCTTTTTACAAATTGTTCCATAGCACTGGTTACAATTTTTATGATTGAGTTCTCAATTCAAAATATAATTGCCTTCCCAGCATTCTCATTATATCCATTTGGTTGCTGTGTTTTCCTTGGTTTAGAGGCCCTCCCCTCCTCTCCCCTCCTCTCCCCTCTGCTCCCCCTCCCCTCCTCTCCCCTTCCTTCCCTTCCCTCCCCTCCCCTCCCCTCCCCTCCTTTCCTTTCCCTTCTAGTTCTTGCTTTCTCATATTTGCTTTTAGGTAAAGGTTTTACACTTGGTCTTAGAGAGTTGATTATTGAAAGGAGCATATGAGGCTTGATACTGTTTCTTTTATAATTAGGCTAAAAGGCAGCCTAGAGAAACACGTTCAATGCCAAGCTCAAAGGACATCTTAGACCAATCGTCTCAGGGGTTCCTCTAGTCTCTATCCGTTCAGGTTTGACTTCTTTAAGGAATTTCAGTTTAGTTCTGCATTTTTCTCCCGTTCCTTTCTGGACCTTCTCTTTTGTCCCTGGTCGGAATGGTTGCTAGTGCAGCTTAGCCAGGGGGACGTTTGGGTGGGCGGGAGGGCGGGTGGAGTTTTACTTTTCACCATGAGGTAGATGCTTCCCTGCAGTCTTCTGAGAGGATGTTCATTAGTGGAGAATTTTGTTTGCGGACCCTTTAGAGCATGGCAACACCGTCTGCACGGCTGGTGTTGGCAATGAGCTCTGTGGCTATATTTTGTACTCCACAAGATAAAGGATGATTCAGTTAATCAATACAGCTACACAGCGAAGGGCGGAAGAGGTGCTAATATTTATGCGAAAAGTGATCTCCCCATCGAATAGAGATTCGTCTTTGCCTAATTTTCATGGCCCTTTCTTAAACCATGCTTTCATATGGGACAATAAAACACACTTATTGATTTACAGAGAAAGTAGGACAAACAAAGAATGCAAATAGAGACACCTGGAGAGGCAAAGTACACTAAAAAGAATGAAGCGGATACACGTATTCCATTTTAAAACACTGAGTGGGTTTTGAAGCACAATGCAACTACTTAAAGAACCTGGACTTGCATTCTCATCCCAGGAAGTACACAACATCCTGCCTGTCTGCTTACCGTTTTGTTTTATGAGGCAGAAGCATTTTCTCAATTATCCTAAAAGATTCTGCAAAGGTGTCTGATAACATTTCAAGTACTAATAGTTGGTAAAAACAAAATACAGTTACTTCTGTGGATGTATATTGAGATCCATATTCACTCACCTAGGCAGACATGCCAAAAAAAATGTTTGTCTCCTTGAGCATTTCAATTTTCTGCAAAAAGTCCTGAAGGGCTAAAAGTTCAAGATGCCCTTTCCATTTAAAAATAGCAAAGCAAATGCTAGTCAAATTTCAGCTTCTCACTAATGCACAAGGCTTGGTTTTATATGACATATGATTAAACGTTGGACCAAGATCTCCTTTTAAGACATTTATCAGTCGGAAGACTTTGTTTCAAATTAAAAAGGATGGAGGTAGGAGGGTAGGAACCAGGAAAAGCACTCACATATCGCTGGGAAATCTGCTTTCTCTCACTGGGGTCTGCCAAGGGGCAGACACATAGATCAGAGACGGAGACCCCCGCACAGGGTGTGAGGGTGACCAGCATCAGGAGGGACCCCAGACCGCTCTCCAGTGGCAAATTGAGGCAGTTGGCTTGCTTGAGAGGAAGGGCCGCGATGTCCACTTTACACCTAGGATATTTTCATGCAAAAGAAAGAGAGGAGAACAATGAACTTAAGGCCACTTCAAAAACCACGAAAGCACCCAAGTTTGACTTCATCCTTCCAGAAACTTCACTTTGTCTGGCCTGAGTTTAGTACCGAGGGTCCCATCAGGGCAGTGAAGGTGGCAGATGTGCCCGGCTCAGACTCCTCATTCCCAACCTAACACCCTCTCAATGAAGGGGAAGGAGCTAAAGAAAAACAAACAAGCAGCAACAACAACAAACCGAAGGCAGCATCAGGGACAGCAAATGCAAAGAGACAAGCAGGGGTCTTTGCCAAACACAGAAAGAGGACGCGATCAAGAATTGGGGAGGAAACATGTTTTCGAAACGGGAAGCATTAGCGATGCATGCTCTGGATGGCGTCTCTGAGCTGTGTCTTTTATGTTTCAAGAGAATAAATGTTCAAGGTTCAAAAAAAACGAGAGAGAGAGAGAGAGAGAGAGAGAGAGAGAAGAGGGACATGCAAGAGGGAGAGGAGTAATGGAGAAACCATTTTCTTCCCAATTAATGCCAACAGGCAAGTTTTTATTTAAAGCAATGTGTTAAGGTGTTTTTCTAATAGGCATGGTTCCACAGGGTCCCCCCAGGTGGGTTTCTCTGGGACAAATGGAGCATGAAGTGCTGTTGATTGATCCCATTTCTGCAGCACTGCCAGGGAAGGCTGTACCCATCTGCTATAAATTGCATGTTCTCCGCCTCATAACAGCCAACGTGCGTTCTGGGGATGTTGGAAACCTCAAACACACCTAAATCCAGCAGCAAACACCACGAAAGGGAGCTGAAGTGCTCAGCCATTTATCTGCTTCCCGGTGAACAGTTCTGGGTTTGCCTGAGCCACCCCTGCTGACTTTGGGACAGAGGTGCGGTAGGAGGGCGGGCAATGGGAGTTCTCTGATACAATGCTTTTAAATATTATTTGTTTGTATTCCCATTTTCTCTCCGTAATTATTAGTTATTGTAAATCCATCTGGGGACATCGGCGGGCTTTGGTTTTCTGACTATTAAAAGACTCTCGGTTGGCAGGAAAGCACTGCCTCTCACAACGCAGTCTAAGTTTGGAGTCTACGCTGAATTCTCTGATGGGCATGGCCGAGGGTTCGAAAAAGGTAAAGCGATGCTCACACAAAGCATCAACACGTGTGAGCCATGTGATTATGTCGGTAAACACATGAATCCGGCCAGAGCAAACTTCAAGTCCATTCCCAATGAAAAATAAATATATTACATTAAACAACCACAGCAGTTTTTGCTACAGAATCAAAAACCCTTTTTAGAAGCTGAGCTTTGCTTATAACAGGAAGTCGACAGGAGTAGTTACCAATCTCCTAATTGGCCAACGTACTTCCAGTTAGAGGAGCAAATGAGGATGAAAGTTTTGTACGTCATCAATGTCTCCTTTATACCGGAGGCAAATTACAAAAAGATATCTCGTAAACAATTCTCTGTGATCACAATGGGAGCGGTGGTCTTTCTCTGGCAGCGAAGGAACTTTCAAAATTCATGTTTACTGCTGGCTAAAAAAGCACAAGGTTTACTAGACAGTTTTATTTCAATAAATAAATAACCAGAAATTTTGTTTGGAAAGAAATGTCAAACGCTTTAACTACACTGTCTGTACAAAATGAAGTACCAACACATTCTATATCATTATTGCAGCTGCATTTCACATCATTATATGCACTTTCGTTTAACAAAGTTCTATCTAGTGTAAAGATAAATCATCAAAATTTGTGAGAATCCTCTACCACTTGTGATCACTTCAGTTAGTCCAAATTGATAACAAACTATTTAAAGCGTGTTCTCCTTTGATACTATTAAAAATTTCATTATACTTCTGTGCTTGGGCTGCTTTACTTTTTTTTAGTCATCATGGTGGCAGTTTTGGGTGCTTTTTGAACACACAAAGGTAGAGTCTAGAACTCTAAGAACTAATCATGCTGAAGTGGAAATCTCTTTTTTGGAAGATTCCGAGTAGACCTGACATTAATTCTAAGAAGGTGCCCCAAAAAGGCTGTGAGTGATATTAGCATGTTTAACATGTAGCTGCAAATTCTGATGCCTGCAGAGACAGCTGATGATGTACGATTTTACCATTTGCCATTTGAAACCAAAGACTGAGTCACACAGAGACAAAATTCCACAGAAACAGAGACCTCCTCAAAGAAACAAAACATTCCCACAAACTTTTCAGGCATCTCTGCCCACTCGGAAACTTCTGCACCTAGGTCACGTTAAGAAGTTTAGACCGCTGGAAAAGAACATGGCATGTAAAATTGACAAACATGCTTTAGCAATAAGGACGTACCTAGGTGGTAGGAACAGTAAAGTGCTTGCCTACCAGTCAGAACGTAGGGGGTTCAAAACTCCCCCACGGGTCACAGCCTTGACAACAACTGCTCTTGTTTGTTAATTATTTTTTCTAATTTTTACGTAAAAGCCCCTTGAGTAGCAGGTCAAAATCTGAGCACTAACATAATGGATTCCACATTTTGATTTAGCCAATTAGTGAACCCATTCAAATACTCACTTTCGCCTTCGCAGTGACTTCAAAGTAAATGTAAGAAATCAAATGGATAAATCAGCATGCCAATAAAAAGGAACCCTTAGTTCTCTGACCCATGGGTTTAGAACCCGGCATTTAAAAGGCCCTGCTCCATCACAGGAATGGATGCCGGATGCCATAAGCCTTAAGAAATAACTTGAAGCTATCCCCTCCCTAGTTTTAACAACCAGCTGTCCTATAAAGAACACTTTCTATAAACTTCTACAAATGAACTGCTCTCTGTGTCTCTTCAACCCACGTGATTTCCCCGTTTATTCTCACGTTCTGGAAGCAAGGAGAAAAGAAAGAACATTATAAAGGACCCTCTCCCTCAGGCCTCACAGTTCACTAGATCCAACCTCACGCCACATTGTCCCAAATGTTCAGGGAGAACCATCAACTTCAGATATTAACTACAAGTTGGAAGGATGATTAGTCCTGACCCCAAACTAGGGATGGGACTACACTGCTTCAGCCTCATGGGCTGGGCACAGGGTTGGCCTGTGAGAAAGTCTTGGGCTTGTCTTTGTCTCCCAGGCAAATCCCTGGCCTCCCTTCACCAAATTCACCGAAACACTCCCCATTGTCCATTTCCATGATTTTACAGGTGCTGTTCAACCTCTCTTTCTTTTCTCCTTCTTTCTTTCATTTGTACCCCTTACACCGTCTCCTCCATGTACGAACCATGTATGAACATTTATGAAAAGTCTGCTTATTAGCATAGAGGCAAATATGATTTGAAAAGTGAGCTCAGTTTTGGGACCTAAAGTTTAAAAGGCTATCATAGTGATTTTATTCTTCATGCAGCACTAACATTGAGACAGTGGGCACCTAGGTGATCTTTCCACTGGTAGTCAGAATCAACTCGAAGGTAGTAAAGAGGAAGGAGAGAGACGACTTTTCTGTGAAAGGCAAGAAGGTAAGAATCTTGGATTTGTGGGATATGAAGTCTTGGCTCCAACTAAAATCTGCCAATACCGCATCAAAGTTGTATGAAAAGAGATTACAAGGGGACGGACAACTGAAAAGTGGGTGAAGGGAGACGTCGGAAAGGGCAAGATATGACAAAATACCAATGTATAAACTATCAAGGGCTGATGAGGGAGGGGAAAAATGAGTACCTAATGCCAGGGGTTTAAGTGGAGAGAAAATGTTTTGAGAATGATGTACAAATGCGCTTTACACAATTGATGTGTATATGGATTGTGATAAGAATTTTATGAGCCCCTAATAAAATGATTAAAAAAATGAAAATAAAAGAGGCAAACAGATGAAGGGGGTGTTGTTCCGTTTAAGCTTTATTTGTATAAACTGGATTAGGATTTGAGCCTAAAGTTCTAGATTGAAAATCCTTGACCTAAAGAAATATTAGTGATTTTTCTGTGGTTCAAAATTACTGGAAGTATTTTAGAAAGAAGGAGAAAAAATCATCAAGATTAGTTACCGAGAGGACTAACTCAACATTTATAAAAGTATCAGAGATAGGTACGTGGCTTAATTTTTTAAAATAACACTTTAATCACGACAGCCCAAGAATCACTGGCCAAAATGTCCAACAATTTATTAGTGAAAGCACACAGATATTTAAACATGCTTCTATGTGATGGAATAAAAGTGTGGCAAACACACTGAGAGCACAAGTAAAAGAAAGGTGAACAAGGATTAGCACTAAACTAGGTCTACGCCCTTGACTTCACATGCTATGGGGAGGGGCAGTGTTGTCACCATCATTCGACAGGTGCTACACAAGTCCACTTAGGTGTTAGGGAAATACCCAATCCAATGTCAGACCTTGGCCTATTCATTCATAGGAGTTGCTCCGTGGTAGCAAGACTCACAGGATGGAAAGAAAGATCATGAGCTCTGAGTTTGTGCGCAGAGAGGACCAGCCATTTGTACATTCATCTATAATGGAATCCGCTGGCTTTGTGACCTCAACTGGGCCCCTCTCTATGACAATACCCAACTGCCCCCTCCTTCCAGCTGCTCCCTCTAGGACTTTATTTGGGCTGTGCTATCTGCCCAGAAAACACTTCTCCAATCGCCTTTGCTCTGAATCTCAGTCCAGATGGCTATCCTTGCAGCAAGCTGCCCAACTGCCCCGAAGCACAGGAGTTCCTCCAGAGGGCCACCACCTACAACGCTCCCTGCTGGTACTCTTGCTGCTTGCTGACTTGAGTGGGCCCAATACCACGGTGCCCCAGATGGGCGCCGCATTTGGGTCATTTTCCACTGAGTCCTCAGGATGCTTCCAGTCTGCCTGACACACAATGCGCTCTCGATGGGCTGAATAAAATGAAAAAAATAACATCAAGTGATTGTCATCTCTCCTACTCTGTCTCTAAGTACCGTCGTGTGTTGTGGAGTACAACAGTGCCCCTTCGGGCTCTTCGGGGTTGATTTTTCAGAAGTAGCTGGCCAGGTCTCTTGTTCAAGGCAGTTCTGGGTGAAATAGAACCATCGAACTTACCATTAGGAGCTGTGTGCATTCACCACATGCACCCCCCAGAGACTGAGACTAAAATGATGAACAAGCATGTGAACGCTTGCAGCCTAAGGAAAATATGATGCTCACAGTGAAAGATGACAACAACAACTAAATTAAGGGATTCAATGACGTTTGTCCTCCCTGCTGTGGACATTAAAGGCGTCCTCCCAGGCAGACAGAGGACCTGCTGATTGAGCACTGTCGCTGACCTCCTGTTCTCTTCTTTCTCCATTAATCTCACTGCATCTGAATGTTTTAATTGTACACATAATTCTACCGTATCAGTCAGCCAAACCTGCTCAAGTTTTACTTGTCATGATAGCTTTTAACCTCGTACTCATTACCATAATTCTATGTTTTATATTACAGACTGGTCAGCTTTTAACTTAAATGCAGGGGTCAGAGAAGAGTGGTGGAGTTTTAAAAGCTGTAAATCTCAGAGACTAAGGAAGCAGAGAACAGGAAGAAAACTGTGAATGTGTCAAGCCTGGCTGTAAAAGCAGATCAACGACATGGGAAGCAATTTGTCCAGAAAACTCCTCCAGCCCAGGCGCTCCCCTGCCTCAAAGTCACTAATAAACTGGTAGAAAGTCAGAGCCACTTTATAAGGCACCATCTGGGACAGAAGACTAATTTGGAGGCAGGGCAGTTCAAACGGGACTGTGGATTCTCGTCCTTAAGCTTTCTGGGGAAAATGAAGTGTAGCGTATTCTACAGCAAGTTAATGACTAGCGTCATCTTGAAATGCAAACTATACTTTAAGGAAGCAATCGTTTTTTGTAAATGGGCACAGGCCACCGTGGTAGAATTCCCTCTTCTCACGAGGAAAATCTGGGTTGAATTCCCGATCGGTGCGGTAAATGTGAACGGAGGCCTGGTGTTGTTGTAATGCTGGAACACATTTCAGTGAGACATCCGTCCAGACTAACAGAGGCTCGGACAAAAGGTCTGGCAATCTACTTCCCGTTGGCCGCTGACCAGGCACAGGATCTGTGTTTCATTCCACTGTGGATGAGGCTGAGTCGAGCTGTGAGTTAACAACTGGGCATCAGCTAACAACTGTAACCACGTGACTACCTCTACACCACCTAAAGGCTTGCTTTCTCTAAACCCAGATAACCTCTAAGATCGAACCCTGCTTCTTCTGTTTGGCTCACGAGAGCACTGGGGTCACTATTTACTGTGTTTTGAGGTTTGATGAACCTGTTCAAGCACCTTTACAACGATCTTCTCAGGAGCTAAATGAATTCAGTGACAATCTTAGGATGGCCTGAGCCTAATGGGAAGTTGAGTCGGGAAAATCTGGGGCAGGCTGGCTGCTTGGCATAGCAGTGTTTAACCAACCCACCCAGGGAGCAACTCATCAACAGCAACGTGATGGCTCCCTATGTATCCATTCCCACCACCCACTCTTCCTTCCAGAGCTATAAACCCCCAAGGCTGTTCAAGGTACCTTGAACTACTCAATCAATGGCTGCTTTCCTACCACACTACCAAACACCTCTCCATCAGAAAACACAGAAAGTGCCCACACTGTTTTGCAAGAAATATCATGGACCTTATTAGTTATCTTTGGTTGACCTGAATTACCTAATTTGGGTGGAGATTGGTGTGAGGATCTGTGGTTGCTATGCGTAAAAATCTCAAAACAAATCATCAAGTAGGCATGGTGGCTGGTAACCACGGCGACAGCAACCTGTGGGCACAGCCCCCACACCACAGATGGATGGCCAGGCCCCACGTACGAACCTGCAGCCCAAGGCCACAGTGGGGCGCCAAGCCACCCAAATACGTTCCCTCAACTCAGACTCCCTTTGAGAGGAAGCATTACTGAAGAAAACCTCTTCGGAAAGGCCATGCGAAGCTTTGCCTCTCTATCTTGAGGGTGTTCTCCAAAAACAAAGTATGAGACAGACCTTAGGATTCACACGAAGTTCCATTCGCACTAAGAACTTGTTAATTTTTGCAGAAGGCTATTTCCCCAACTGTCAGAAAGTGAGACAACGAATCCTTAAAGCTTTGACAAGAAAAAAGAAGAAATGTGGGGGGTGGGGATGGGGTGGAGGGGAGGGATATTGAAAGATGTGAAAAGGAACAATTGAGGAAGGGGAACGAATGGCACTTCAAAAAACTAGAAAGCCCACTGGCATCGAGTCAACTCCGCTCATGGCACAGTGGGTTACACATGGGGCTGCTAACTGCAAAGTCAGCAGTCCAAGTGCACCAGCTGCTCCGTGGGAGAAAGATGTGGTGCTCTACTCCCATAGAGTCTCAGCCTCCGTCCTAATCGCCAAGGGGCAGCTGTACTCTCCCCTATAGGGTCGCTAAGAGCTACGCATGTATCAGCACGGTCGAAGTGTGAAAAGCAGCCCCCAAAGGTTGGTGAAAAGGGACTTAAAGATCATGTCATGTTTCCCATCAACCTTCAAAGCCCCCTCCTGCTTCCAAGTAGGCCTGGCTCCAGCTGGTCCTTATCCACAGGAGAATGCAGGGTAGCCAGCCTCCAAGCGAGAAGGCTGTTGTCTTTTGTACCTCTGGAGAGGAATCCGGAAAAGGAGACCAAAAAATAAATAAAATCCATGAATAGGAAGGGCAGAATGACTACTGGAGCAGGGAGATTTCTAAGTCACAAACAGGACATAGCTAAAAATCATAATAATGAATCCCCAAATGACACATCGGTGAGTAAAAGGGACAGCTTAAATCATTATGTGTTCCCTGTGAAGGGACCTGGCACTTGTTTGGGAAAACGTTTCCTATTATGTCAAGGCAGGGTGACAGCATGATGATATATGAATTGGAAGGCATTATTCTTTGCACTCCCTGAAAGAAGACCTTGGCCATCCATCACAAGAGGCCGAATTCCACCGGCACATCATGTTCTGGGCACAGGGAGTTCTCGCCGCATTGGCGTGACCTATCATGGCTCCACGGGCAAGCACAGCATTCTGGTCCACCTCCCATCAGTGCTGGGGGTGCCTGGGTACGTCACTGGATGACAAGTTCCTAAGGAACATCTCAGCTCCTCCAGGTGGGTGGACTGGGGACTGCCAAGGCCAAACTAGTCATCTCACCCGGCAGCAGCTGTGACGTGCCGGATGGTGGGATCTGGCCTGCTTGCCAGCTAAAGGCACCAACATGGCCTAGGAGACTGCCAACAGATGATGCCTGCTCTCTGTCTACTAGATAACACAGCATTGGGGCTGGGGGGCTGGGAAAAGCACTGTGACCAGGGGTATGTCCTGGAGCCCAGGACACAGACAAGGCAGGTCTTCTCGGTTAAGGGTGTTTGGCTAGGTGCAAAAAAATGTTGTGTGCATGTGTGTCTGTGTGTGCGTTCTACTCTCACACAATTGGGGATAGTCACTAGCATTCGCATGTGTGAGAGTTAGGTATGCCAAACGCCCTGCCACATGCCAGGCAGACCCATGCACCTCGATGCCTCAGATAGAAAACCACAAGCATGTCCTAAGAGCACCCAACTGCCCGCCTGGCTCCTGCAGGTCAGCGTGAGGACAGCAAGACCCGCTACCCTCGGTGTGCCAGGCACGAGCCTCAGAATTCTGCATAGCAAGCACGCTGCAGAAGACACTGGGTCAGCTGCTTCTAATCCCGTCTGCTTTGAAACCGCTTGTTTCTGGGACAGAAGTGTCACCCTCTTATGTCTCTGCATTTACACATCTGTAAAACGAGAGGCTCACTTAGATGAGCAGCGTTCATCTTTGATTATCAGCACTCACCTGACCCTTTCCTCAAGAGAGTTTTTAGGGCACGGGCACAACGGAGGTGTTCTTGATGCCCGGCTGTCACCCTCCCCTCCCTCGGGATAACCCCATGGCATCTCCTTGAACTCAGTTCTTGGAGAACATGGCTTGAGAAAGACGAGACCCACCACTGTTGAAATCCCTTCCGGCATTTAGGTTCTAAATCTATGATGGAAGTACAAGTTGTCCGTATATGGAGAGGACTTGGCCCCTGGAAACAGCTCTGATTCCCCATCACTGCTCTCAGGCCGGAGGCTGAGCGCTACGTGTTCCCTAGTTTTGCTTCCTCAGGCTACGCAATAAAAATAAAGCCACAAACCCTTGTGGTTAGTCTAAGCAGCAGAGGTGGCATGGATTCACACCAGCATGTTCACAGTGCTTGTGCTACCTCATTGAATTGTATTCTTACATACAATGAAGGAATGCCCTACAGGGCAGCTAGAATGCTTATATTATGGTTTGCTGTATATGGCTAAGGCCCAGTGAGTCGAAAGAGCTAATGTGCTCTGCTGGCCCCTTGGAAGAAAGGCCTGGTGATCAGTCCTCAATCTCTACAGACACACATGGGACAAATCCATGATTTGGAGTCAATACATACGACGGAAACTGGCTTTTTTGTGGGGAGGGGTAGATAGCAGGGGTTATACCCAGGTGAGCCCCTCCACTAAAACGGCGATCCAAGGTTGTCAAGATAGATTTGATTTCAATGCACTTCATTGCATTTTGACACAAAGCGTATCAAATACGTCGGAAATTTCCCTCATTGGTGACACCTCGTTCAACATTCTTTCTAAATGACATGCTATACTTACCCAGCAACAAAACCAAAGTGAACGGTTGCTATCAAGCGAGTTTATATCAACATTCCCAGGGTCGAAGACGGGACACTATCTTTCTATAAAGAATAAATACTGAACGCCATTTTCCAATAAATATTCCACTTAAATTTTAAAAAATAATAAAACTACTTTCTCCATTAGGAATGGCCATCGTATTTCCGCATGGCTCCGTGGGGGCAGGCTTTGATCTCTGCCCAGCCTGATCAACTCCTGCCCACAGCAGCCCCCCTGAAAGCTGAGCTCTGCACGCGCTCCCGCCAGGAAGAAAGCTGAGCCGACTCACGTGCCCAGACGCTCCTCGCGCTTTTTGCCGTCCTTTCCCCACACTTCCATGTCCAAAATGCCCATCCTGTCAGAGAAGTAGTGAAAGTCAAACTGTTCCCGCCACTGGGGATTTGCACTCTTACACAGTGTCTAGAAAACATGCAGTTAGGATATTTATTGTCTTAGAACGTTAGTCATCACCACAACAGCTACGCATTCATTTTCATTTCTCACATTTTAAAGAGGAATCAACATCATGGGCCATGCCCCCTCCCCCACACCTTAAACATCACTGTTTTTGAAAGACACTTTTGGGTGTTACAAAGAAAATCTCACTACTTTTTAGCTATCCCCCAGATTCAATCAGTTTCCAACAAGTCAGAAGAAATATTGTTAGCTCAACAGAAAGCATTTTGTCAGTAGGCATTTTACAATTATGATCTCTTACCAAAGATAACCCTAACTGATTTATCAAATGTACGTAATATTTTCATTGGCAGATCCATTCACTGCTGGCTTAACTGTTGATGTAAATCAACCGTTCGGAGTCTTAGTTAACAGCTGTCTGGTGCACTACATGGGAAACGCCTAACACAGACAGCTTGGCCTGTCTGAAGCCAGCGATGACGGCTCCAGACAACACTGGGAGGAACACTAGGAAACGCCTACGTACTCAAAAGTAAAAATGAAAACGTCCCTAAATGCTTCCGTGTTCTCTGAGCATCTTTTCCTTTATTGTTTTTCTTTCTTAAATTCAGGGGAGAGCGTGAACACAGCGCCCCCATGAACACAAAGTATGCAGTCGAGTTTCCCTGCATTTATGGAAATCGCCGGGGTCAGCACAGCCGGAGTGCACTGGGTGAGCCTCGTGTGGGAAAACCACCTTCGTGATCATGGTGTCTACCCTGCCAGGTAAGCACCTCTGAGCATCTTTTCAAATAGCTCGGTGTCTGGTTCCCTGGTAATTCTCATGTTTATTTTATTTCGACAGAGATTCAACCTCAGAGCAAACCAGGAGCACAACATTGGCCGGTGCACATCAGGCTCTTAAGGTCACAGCATCAACGGTTAAGTCCCAACCCGAACTTCTCCTGCGTGCAAAAAACCCTGACCACTCAGCCTGCAGTGGCCACCAGTGCCCCATTAAAAAACAAAT